TGCCTTCCAATGGACCATTCGACAAACACTACCATCCACAGCCTGCCCCCCCAACCACTGCTCTCCCCTCGCCCACAGCAAGGACACCCCCCTCCCACCGACCCCTCCCCCCACCCGAGAGAGCACAGCACACACACCCATCCCCAGGCACCTCACTCCCCCCCCCCCTTGCAGGACGATGTCTATCAACGCAGGCAGTGACGAGCGGGCGGCCCTCCTCCCGCCGACGTCGCACACGTCGCGGACGCTCTTTGGCACCATTGGCACGCCCTATGGAGGCGGTGGCATGGTGGAGAGGTCACGTGCAGCGCTGTTTGAGTCCATTTCGCAGCCTTCGGAAGGCAAGTCACGGAGAACGGGTTCGACGAGTACCGGAGCAGGTGGTGCCAGCCATGGCCTCCCGCCCATGCCTGGTGCCGACGTGCTGTATCGGACCGTCGACCTCTCTGCTTCTGTCTCGGGAAGGGACTGGCTCGTCCCGGCTCGCCCGCGCCTCGACTCGAACCTCGTCCGCCTCGTCTCCACCATTGACGGTGGTGGAGATGACGATGGCATCGAGCTCGGCTTGCATGAAATGGCTTGGCCCGACCTCGCTGCTGCCCTCAAGGTCGACATTGATGCCAATGAGCCTGGTGCTTGCCAGGGCCTTGCCGAGTTTCGTGCCAGTGATCGCCTCGAGCGTGACGGGCTCAACCTCATGACTCCGCCGGCCAAGACCCCCGAGTGGCTCAAGTACATCCACTGCTACCTCAACTACTTTATGGGCCTCCTCTTTCTCGCCGGTGTCATCTCGCTCGTCCTCTACGCTGTCGAGCCCAAGGAGAAGGTCAACCTCTGGCTCGGCATCGTCCTCCTCGCCATCATCGTCTTTACCGCCACCATGGACTACTTTCAGAACAGGGCTGCGTCGAACATCATGGCCCAGATTGCCGGCCTTGTCTCCACCGAGGTTGTTGTCCGTCGTGACGGCTCCGAGCGCGCCATCGATCCCAAGAACCTGGTCATTGGCGACGTCATCCTCCTCCGTGCAGGCGACCGCGTCCCGGCCGACGTCCGTCTCCTCTGGGTCAACGGCATGAAGGTCGACAATGCGTCGCTGACCGGCGAGGCCGAGCCGCAGCTCCGCAAGATCGAGTCGACCTCGGATGAGATGCTCGAGACCGCCAACGTGGCCTTCTCCGGCACCCTCGTCACCGCCGGCGACGGCGTGGGCGTGGTCATTGCCGTCGGCGATGCGTGCATGATCGGCCAGATCGCCTCGCTCGCCGGCGCCGACAAGGGCATCAAGACCCCGCTCGAGATCGAGATCGAGCGCTTTGTCCGCCTCATCGGCGTCATCTCCATCTCGCTCGCCATTGTCCTCATCATCCTCGGCGTCTTTGTCGCCAAGGACGACATTGGCGAGGCCGGCTACAACGCCGTCGGCATCCTCGTCTCCAACGTCCCGCAGGGCCTCCCGGCCACCGTCGCCATCTCGCTCTTCCTCGCCGCCAAGCGCCTCCGCGCCGCCAACGTCGTCGTCAAGACCATGCAGCAGGTCGAGACCCTCGGCTCGGTCTCGGTCATCTGCTCGGACAAGACCGGGACCCTGACCCAGAACGTCATGACCGCGGCGTCCGCGTGGATGCCTGGCGCGCCGGCGAGCGGCGACGACCCGGCCGATCCAGACTCGGCCATCATGACCCTCCGTGAGGCTACCTCGTCGCAGGTCCCGCCGCGCGCCATGAGCGTCATGACCGAGAATCCGGTCGGCCGCGCCCTGCTCGCCGCCGCCGCCCTCTGCTCGCGCTCGCGGTTCGAGGCCAGCGCCGACGGCGCAAGCCCGGACCTCTCGACCACCACCGCCATCGAGGCCGCGCCCACCCTCGGCGACGCCACCGAGTCGGGCTTCCTCCGCTTTGTGGCCAAGGTGACCGAGGGCGGCTTTGCCGCCATGCGTGCCGCCGCGCCCAAGGTCTTTGAGATTCCCTTCAACTCGGCGAACAAGTTCCAGCTCTCCATCCACGACGGCATGGCGCCGTACCGCGACGACGGCGTCGACCGGGTCCTGCTCATCAAGGGCGCACCCGAGGTCATTCTCGCCAAGTGCGCCCAGTTCTGCGCCCCTGGCGCCGTCGCCACCCCCATCGACGACGCCTTCCACGCTAACTTTAGCGCCAACTACGACGCGCTCGGCCGCCGAGGCGAGCGCGTCCTCGCCTTTGCCGAGCTCCCACTCGGGCCCGACTCGGGCCTCGCCGACGTCGATGGCAACCACTTTGACCTCGACGACGGGACCGTCCCGCTCGACGGCTTCACCTTCCTCGGCCTCCTCTCGCTCATCGACCCGCCCAAAGTCACCGTCCCGGCCGCCATCGACCTCTGCCGCCAGGGCGGCATCCGCGTCGTCATGATGACCGGCGACCACGTGGTGACCGCCGAGGCCATCGGCAGGCAGATCGGCATCATCACCGGGAAGACCATCGACGACGTGGCGCGCGAGCGCGGCGTGCCTACCTCGGCCGTCGAGAACCACGAGTACGATGCCGTCGTCGTTCACGGCTCCCGCATCGAGTCGCTCACCGAGGAAGACTGGGACGCCATTCTGGAGAAGCGGCAGATCGTGTTTGGCCGCCTCTCGCCGCTCCACAAGGTCGAGATTGTGCGCAACTGCCAGCGCCGCGGCGAGATCTGCGCCGTGACCGGCGACGGCGTCAACGACGCGCCCTCGCTCAAGATCGCCAACGTCGGCGTGGCCATGGGCATCTCCGGCTCGGAGGTCTCCAAGGACGCAGCCGACATTGTGCTCCTCGACGACGACTTTTCCTCCATCGTCCTTGGCGTCCGCGTCGGGCGCGTCATCCTCGCCAACCTCCGCAAGTCGTCGACGTACATTGTGACCCACCTCTCGTCCGAGCTCGTTCCCGTCCTCATCAACATCCTCTTTGGCATCCCGCTCGGCCTCCAGTCGCTGCAGATGATCCTCATCGACCTCGGAACCGAGATCGTGCCCGGCGTGGCGCTCTCGTTCGAGACCGCCGAGGCCGACGTCATGCAGGTCCCGCCGCGGAACCCAAGACGGACCGCATGATGGGCGCAAAGTCGCTCGCCTTTGCCTACGTCCAGGCCGGCACTCTCCAGTCGCTCGGCTCGCTCTTTGCCTACTTTTACGTCATGTGGGACTACGCCGGCCTCACGCCGTCCGACCTGTGGGAGGCCAACAACTCGGCGGCCATCACCGACGACATCCTGTACATGGCTCAGGCCGCGTACTTTGTCGCCGTCGTTGTCCAGCAGTGCTTCAACCTCATCTCCATGCGCACTCGCTCCGTCTCGGTCTTCTCACACCCGCCCTTCTCCAACCATGTCATCTTCTACGGCTGGATCTACTCGCTTGCCCTCGCCGCGGCCTTCCTCTACATCCCGGGCCTCAACAGCAGCCTCTTCTTCAACCCCTTCCCCGCCGACAAGACCTACTACTGGTTCCTCGGCCTCCCGGGTGGCGCTGCCATCTTTGTCTACGCAGAGCTCTGCAAGCTCGCCAACCGCCGCGGCTGGTCCCTTGGCCGCTACATCGGCTTCTAACTTGCCCACAGCGCCACGTTTGAGTGTAAACACTCTCGTCCCGCCGCAGAGAGTGATCCACGCTCAGCGTCGGGCTCTGCGATGCATACGAATGGCCCAAAAAAAGTGATTGATCTCGGAAATTACGCTTGCAAGATGATGGTGATGATGGGAGAGAGGGAAGGGTGGAGGGGGGAAGGGAGGGAGCCATGGAACAGTGACATCAGCGTGTCATTGCTATGCTCCTGGTGACTGTTGGCCATGATGAGTCATGCGAGGGTGTCACTGCTACATGAGCGGCCTGCGCCTCCATGCGTCGCTGTTCCAACCTCCCATCTGCTCTCCGCCCAAACGGGGCAAACCTCCGTCTCGACTCGCCGGTGCCTCTCGGCGGCCGTGTCGCTCAGGCACACGGCCAGCGCCCCCCCCCTCCCCTCCCCGCCGCCCCCCCCCTTTCTCCGCCACAGGACACATCCACGCACACGCCACTCTCTCCACAGACGATGGCGGCAAGTATGGCATCAGGGGCGGAGGAGCTGCGTGAGGAGCTTGTGCGCAAGTGGTGCAAGGAGCCGCTGGCGACACCACTGGCCAAGGACCTGGCTCGGCTGGCGCCTGCGACCACGGTGGAGGTGGTGTTGGGAGGGAGGGGAGGGGGAGGGGGAGGGGGAGGGGGCGGCATTGGGGGCGGCATTGATGGTGGTATCGATGGTGGCATTGATGGTGGCATCGATGGTGGCATCGATGGCGCTGGTGCGGATGGCGCTGGTGTGGGCTCGGGATCGGCTACTGCAGGCACGGGATCGGCTACTGCAGGCACGGGATCGGCTACTGCAGGCACGGGATCGGCTACTGCAGGCACGGGATCGGCTACTGCAGGCACGGGATCGGCTACTGCAGGCACGGGATCGGCTACTGCGGGTATGGAAGCAGCTAGAGGTGCCGGCTTGGGCCTGGCGGCGGCGGCACGGGTGGTGGCAGAGCTGGCGGCGGCGATGGCGCTGGAGGTGGATGGCGCCGAGGGCAATGCCGATGTGCGCGAGGCGGTGCAGGCGGCGGCAGACGCCGCGTGGTCGGGCGTCCCGGCCGGAGCTGAGAAGGACGCCGTGCGGAGCTTCCTGGCCACAGCAGTCGGCGACGGGTTGCTCGACCCTCGTGTCGTCCGCGTCCTCGGCATGGTCAACCAGGGCTACGTCGCCCCGGTCTCCATTGAGCTCAAGCTGCGCCTGGGCATGGACTATCTCACTGCTGACGTCCGCGACTCATGGTCTGTCGCTATTGCCGTCGATCCCGCTGCTCGCACCATCACGGTCACCCACTCCAAGGCCGAGATCGGCATTGCTGTCCCGCTCTCGCTCGCCTGGTCGCTCACCTCGGTCGTCGCTTGGTCTGCCGCCCCGGTCCGGGACACCCTCCTCACCACCCGCCTCACCGTCGACGCTCTCGACGTCGCCGGCCTCGAGCCCGCCCACATTCGCCACATCCAGGACGCGCTCGGCCCGTACCTCTCGCCCGACGCGTACACCTTGTCGGAGCTCTCGCTCGCCCGCGTCTCATCATCGGCCGACCGCCCTGCGCTCTCGCTCATCAACAAGAGCCTCACCGCGCTCCCGCCGGCCCTGCTCGACGCGCCCGACGCGCCAAGCCTTCTCTCCGGTCTACACCTTGATCTCAACGCACTGACCGCGCTTCCACTACAGCTTGCAGCCTTTGCCTCGCTCCGCCACCTCACCGCGGTCTCAAACAAGCTCGACGTCTTCCCGGACGCGGTTCTCGAGCTCACAGCGCTCGAGGTCCTCCACCTCGGCTCGAACCCCATCACCGCCATTCCGCCCGGCATTGCTGCCCTCGTCAACCTCACCGAGCTCTCCATGTCATACTGCGCCCTCACCAGCCTGCCCATGGCACTCGCCAAGCTACCGCGCCTCGCAAAGCTCTACGTCTCCAACAACCGGCTCGAGTACATCCCCACCGACCTCGCCCTACTCGCCAACCTCGAGGTCCTGCACATCCACAACAACCCGCCGGGCTACCCTTCCGAGCTCGAGGGCCTCTCCGTCGCCGACATCATGGCCTATCTCCGCGCCCGTGGATGACCGAGCCCGCCAGCCCACAGCGGGTGGTGCGATGCTGGCCCCGTCGCTGCGTTCACCACTCGGTGTGGGAAGCTGTGAGGCAAGCATCAACACAACAGCGACCATCGACGAAACAAGGCTGCTGAACACGTTTGTGTGCCCAAAACCGCCACCAACACCAATTCAGGAACTAAAGAAGGAGGCCACACGAGCTGAGCGGCGCGTTGTGCCCGAGTCGCCTTGTGCGTCGCAATGGAAAAAGTGTGACGTCGTTTGCACTGAGCTATCCCAGCCAGCCATAGCTTCCACTCCCTCTACCATGCGCATGAGACTTTGTCCATGGACAGGATTCTGGCTACAAGTTGCTATGTACTTGCAGTATCCGTGGATTGCATGTAGACGCTTAAAGAGCTGAAAAAGCCGTCCATCGCGGCCCTGACTTATCGCTGCCAGGCGCACTGCGCTTGTGTGCACTTTTTCGCCAGCCGTATAACGGGACATCCGCGCAGAACGCTCAGCTTCGGAATGTGGCACATCTCTCTCGTCTGACCAACATGGATAGCATGTCGAAGGCTACTATGCTGCAGGAGGCAGGTAATCTTACTGAGCTCATGAAGCTTGCCGCGATCGTGGATGACCCGGTCGCCCATGTTCACATCTACACCGAGCTCTGCAAGGGATACGTCCGCAGCGGTGACGTTGTTGGCGCCGAGCGGATTGTCTTGCACGACATGGCAGCCCGTGGTCTGACGCCCACGGCTAGCAACTTTGCCGTCCTCATCCGCGCCTACGCCTTTGAGGGGCGCCCGGACGAGGCCAACCGCATCGTGAGCCGGATGCTCAGCTACAAGATCGAGCCAGACAACCGCTGTGTCTCCATGCTCGTCAAGAGCCACGCCGTTGCTGGAGACCTTGACGCGGCGTGCAAGCTCATTCAGAATGCCCCGCTGCTCTACGGCACAGAGGTCACCCCCCGCGCGTACGAGGCCGTCTACATGGCTTATGCCGCCGCCGCCGACTATCCGCGCGCGCTCCACTGGATCAAGGTCATGTACCATACGACGACCAGGCTCCGGTACGGACCGATTGTCCGCATTGCTGCGGCCATGCCTCTCGAGGCACTCGAGGCGCTTGTTGACCTTCTCTCTAACGAGTTTGGTCTTTGCCCACCGCTCGGCGTGTGGATGCTGCTGCTGGTCAAGTACCACGACGCGCGCCACGGCGAGGACGCCTACAACCTCGCGCACCACATCCTCGACATGCGCTTGAGCCTCAACCTCAAGAACTACAAGGCCATCATGAACGTGCTCGCCTTTGTCGGCGACGTTTCTGCCGTGTACAACGCCCTCACCATGCTTGTGGATGACGGTCTGTCGCCCGACAAGTGCATCCTCGCAATCGTCCTCAAGGCTCACAACAACGCCCAGAGCGACAGCGGGCTGGCTCGGCAGACGTGGCAGCGCGCGCGCGCAGCAGGCGTTGAGCCTGACGAGCGCTGCTACTACTTGATGTTCCGCATCTTGGCGTGGAACAAGTCGACCACCGAGAGCCACGCCATCGGCCTCTTCACTGCTTGCCTCAAGCGCAACATGTTCAACCAGCACGTCGCCAAGAGCGCCCTCTGGTGCGCCGCCACCCATCGCTTCCGCCGGCTTGCCAACCTCGTCGATCGCGCCTACACTGCCGACTTTGGCGCCCACACGCCAGCGACGCTGAAGCCCCTGATGCGCCTCGCATAGCCCCAGCTTACCTGCCTTGTCGGCAGAGGTACTCCGCGCGTGCATGCGGCCTCGGACGCCGCCGTTTGGAGCGCCATCACCATCATCATCATCACCATCATCATCATCACCATCATCATCACCAGAACACTAAACAATGTTCGTCCGCGTCCAGCAGCCGGAATTGCAGCGATGCGGTCTGCAGAAAAAGCACCTCCTGCAACGATCAGGACCACGATCGCCGGCCATCCAGACCGCCACCGCACTGCACTCAGTCCATGGTGGAAACCACGCGCCTGGCTCAAATGCACCTACCCGCCGCGGCGGTGGTGATGCCGCTTGAGCGGGTTGGGCCTGGTCGGCATGGACACGCCTTTCAACCTCGGGACGCCGCGGATGCACCCGAACCCGATCGCCGCTGCGGGCCCTAACCCGAAGTTCGGGTCTCAAATTGGTGTTGACGCCACAACTATATACTTATATAAATATAATTACACAAAATATCATTATATTCACAAAACATATAAATTCAAAATAGTATACACAAACACAATTCAAAATATATAAAGATAATATATTTGGCGTGACAAGGCAATAATTATTGCAATTTTGCAGGGCTGGTGGGGCTGGGCCAGCCCCGCTCGCCGTGGATCGGATGAACTGATGCGTGGCCAGTCTCGCAGCCTTCGCATGGATCGCGCTCACGCTCGCGTGACGGCTCGCACTCGGCTGCATGTGGAATTGTACACGCGTTCTGGCGAATCCGGCTTGAAACAGCCACCAACTCAACGGCTTGAGGCGGATGTACCGCTTGCGGCTCAAAACCAAGCTCAAGTGCGCGATGCTCGGCAAGGACGGTCTCGACGCGCCTGCAGACCTCAGCCGTGCGTGCGTCTACCCCGTCTTTACCGCCACCACAGCCGATGACAGCGCGCTGAATACCTCGGTGTCCAACCACGGCTTGTAGTGTGCGCAGATCGAGTTCTTCCTCTACGATCCCGATGGTAAACTAAGCTGACCGTTCCCCGACCGTTCCCTGACCGTTCCCGGGACCATTCCCTGACCGTTCCCAAATGCGACCGTTCCCCGAACGTTCGCCAACACAGCGTTCTGGGACCGTTCCCGGAACGCTATCCCAAGAGCGCGATGACTGGGACCGTTCCCGGAACGCTCCCCACTTGCACCTGAGCATCACTCATGACGTCTGACTTGGGCGCGAGCCGGAACTGCCCACAATAGCCTTGGGGACAGGAGGTACAGGGATTGCACATGACAACTATAGTTGACTTTGATGATCCCAAGTCACCCGAGTACCGATCCTCGTCTCGATCGCCGCCAGAGTACCGTCGTCGGTGCGGGCAGCCGAAATGGACAACTTTTTCTTTTGCCCGCAAACCACACTCTCTTCGCCTGCGGCAACACCGCTCTCCGGCCACCGGCCACCCACGGCACCCGCATCACTCACTCCATCACACCCAGCCCACCCATTCCCCGCCATGCAGTCGTGGTCATGGTCATCGACGTCGACGTCGACCGCCAGCAGCCCGCCGCCCGATCCCCGCCCGGCCGAGCCCGGGCCCGGGCCCAAGCCATCCGCCGATCTCGCGCTGCTGCACGCCAAGCTCGACCACCTGCTGCTGGTCCATGAGGACGCCATCGTCGGCGAGTACGTCCGCCGGTACCAGGAGGCGGCGGCGGCGGCGGCGGTTGCGGAGGCGGCGGCAAGCTCTGCCGGCGGCGGAGTCGCCCGCCCGCCGCCT